TTTTTTTTTTTTTTAAAGCATGTGTGGTTGAAAAATGAAAAAAAAATTGTATAATATTATTTTATTGAAAAATATGTTACTGAAAAAGAGACAAAAATGAAGTTGGAAATTAATGGAGCCCAAATAGAGTCTATAGTTTGCTTGTTTGTATGGCTTAACTATCCTTGATGGTAATGATGAATATATTTGAAATTATGTGTTAATTTATAAACAATGAATATGTTATATATTTAATGTTCACGAAAATATTCTTTGTTTGAAATACCGTAAGTGTATAATTCGTTAACAAGTAATAAAGTGGATTTTAGTCCAAGTATCATTCCATAGAGATTGATTTAACTTGATTTTAATTCTTGTGACCTTAACCGAAGCAATAATAAAGTGATGTGTCTATTTGTGACTAAATTATTACTAAAATAATCTACTTATGCAATTATTAGTGAATTTAGCTAACTAAATGCAAATTATGCTAAATGTAAATTGATGTGTTTTAATGAATGACAAGAGCACTAGGATCACAAATTTCCAAACGATAATCTTTTTTAATCTAATTCTACACTTCGAAAGCATGATTGAATTTTGAAGAATCAATGTTCTTATTTTATTCAACAATATCTATCGAGTAATGTTAGACTTATTTTAGATATGATCCGACTATATTTCTGTAACGAATGCGAACATATAAGAGTGCATAAATTATTGTGATTACAAAAGATTCACATAGAATATAGTAGTATATTTCTATACCCTATCGGACCAAAGATAATTTACACCATATTGAGCCTATTTTCCTTCTTTCTAACGCATAAATAAGCAACCAAATTTATACAACAACTATGCACAATAATTGTAGAGAAAAGATAATCGTGTAAATTAATCAAAGTCCAAAAATGTGTTTTCAATGTCAAATATGTAAAACTAGATATTAAAAACTCATATTACAAAATTTATAGTTCTCCTAAAACAAAGAAATCCAGCCTAACATATTGTGAAGAAGAAAGCAAAAGATATAAAGTTGTTCATCACCTGAAAAATCTTGAATTTAATCTTGATCTGTTATTTGCCTCATTTTGCAGTTGATTCTCCACAATGCTAATTATGTATTGGGAATTTTTTTTTATAGTACTCTACAAGAAGTCCCAAAAGTCCTAAAATTTGTGCAAAATCAACCCAAGAAGAAGTTTCTTTATCGGATTAAAATTTTGAAACAAAACCAAATTTTTTTTTTCGTGATTGCCCAGGCAAAACCCGGGCGATTGCCCAAGCATCCTTTTTCAACCTTAGTAATTGGTTCTTATGGCCGGATAGTCACCCGAAAAATATAACTGGGCAATTGCAGAGTTATATCTGCAATGCCTCAAATTTTCATAACATCGAAGCGTTACCAAAAATTCATTTTTCTGTTTACTTTACATGCAAAAAGATCAAGATAAAATTCTGATTTTAAGTAATAACTGCAGAATTCATAAATTTAAAGTAAATACAGCGATTGTATTTGGAAAATAACAATAAACATGTCTTAAAATTAACAAATAATTATGAAGGTAGAAAAACTTAATGGAAAATTTATTCTTTGTTACTACGATCCACTTGGCAGCCTGCATCACTGCCCTTCCACAATTCCAATCGACATGAACTAACCTGTAAAAATTTGTAAGAGTGAGTATTCAAAAATACCCGTAAGATACGTGCAGTTTTCATGTACAGATATATAACAATAGAATTTACATATCATACCGTTCTGTTCTTATGGAGTATATCGGTGACCAAGTGACACAC